CAAAAAGGTTTTGTCTTCTTCAGGTGATGACAAAACCTTGTCGAAACGTTGTACATTTGCTGTCATGTTAAACTTATATTAAAGTTTTTCTTCATTACCCATTTAAGCCGTCTCCAGCCATTAATGGTCTATCTGTGCTTTTCTCACCACAGATATCGAAACCCATTTTTTAGCGTCGTGAACCTGCAGACTTACCGCTGTGCCAGTGGAGAGCAAACTGTTTTATGATCGTTTGATCACTGTGTTAAACATACAAGTGTTTTGGACATACGTTATAACTAATGTTAGTTAGAGTAAGGTAAATTCTACGTTAAAATTATATAAATTACGTTTCTAAAGAAAACCCAACCAAAACATTAACGTGGGTTTGAGCAACAGTGATTTTTGTAAAGGCTTTAACAGAAAATTAAAAAATACTTTTGGTAAGTTATTAACTTATTTCTTGGTTATATATATAAACTGCAAGGTTAACGGAATAGTTTTGTATAACATTTCCATCAGTTATTACAGATATTTCATGTTTTTCTTGGAAGATTTATCAGATCATGGAAATCATTTATCGCGTTGTATATATGTGTGTGTGTGTTTTCTTATACTATGCACTATATGTTTTATATACATGTTCAGATTGTTCCTAAGCTACTGTAATACTGTTGTTTATATCACTTCAATTGAAATGATTTTGATTTATTCTGTTAAACTTAATGTTACTATTCCATTACGTGAAACTTGTATTTATTTTTATTTCAACTTTGTAAAATATAATACTAAAGCAAATAATTTCATGCTGAAAACTTTATTCAAGATATGCATTCTTCTTCAATGAAGTGAGATTAAATTATTGGAAACATAAAACGTATTTTCCTATTATAGTCAGTAGTTACGTTAAAAGAAAAGTAGACTATATCATATCTATATAAATATAATAGTACTCTCTGTTATATGTCTATGTAACTACTTTGCAGGGATGGATCTTCACCAAAATTGGTATGGAGGTTCATTAGGTCCATGCGGGGGTACATCAAGATTTTCAGTTTTGTTGTTTTTATGCTGTTTTGGCGTTTTTGCGTTTGTTACCACTACTTCGCCCCCTTTGGATGGACCTTCACCATATTTGGTATGGAGGTTTATTGGATCTATAGGGAGAAGCATTCAAATTTTCAGTTTTCATTTTGTGTTTTGCGGTTTTTATGGACTTTTTGCATTTTTTTAAATTACAAATAAGGGAAGCAACTTTTTATGTCCTAAAATAACCTTTCGCTGTCTGTGATGTTCTAAGTCCTCGAACTGGAAAGCTTTTTAAGATTTGAATGTAAAAATATTTTTCAAAAGCAATCATTTTTCGGTGACGTTACACTATCTTCGTAGTGCCCATCACTATCATAATGTAGTTCCGATACGTTCTGTTCAATCGCGACTTTATAACGGTTGGTTGTCACGTGATTTGTCGAGTTGAGTACATAACTTTCTCAATCCTCTGTAGAATGTACTTTTATATGTAGGAACGTAACTGTTTAAAGGCTATGTTATGTCATGATTTGTACCACATCATTTCGTTTACTTTTTTAATATTGTTTAGAAAATTTATTTGTTTGTGTTACGAACAAAGCTACACAACAAGCTATCTTTGCTCTATCCACTGCGAGTATCGAAAATATTTCATACGACTATTCTGCAACAAACATTTTGAAAGAAACCAATAACACTTAAAAACGAATGTTAATACAAGCAGATAATAGTAATAAAAGTCAAACTGAACTTGTATTTATATACAATGATATTATCATAAGTACGGTAGTACTTATAGTAGGAATGGGCCAGGTGTGCAATATGTGCAATTAAAATTCCGAAAACACTACAAAGAGCATGCAAACAAAACTTTACAAGCACCTTACACACACTGTTGGGCACTAAACAAACCAAATGCGGAGTGATAAGCCACCAAAGCAGTAGAGTAAAAACAAAAATTTCACAAAACAACAAATTTGTCAGTCTGACTATCTGAACTGACTGACTGACAAACGTTGTTGGAAAGGTATAAGTTTACCCTACCTTCATCTTATGCAAATCCAAATACACATGATTGAATTACGCTACCTTGGCTAAAAGAGTTTTTCTTAGTGTTACTAAGAGTGTTTCTTAGTGTAATAACAATAACCGTTTTGGAACACTACTAACGAGCTACCAATACACTAGTAGCCATATACGAGCTACCAATACACTAGTAGCCATATACGAGCTACCAATACACTAGTAGCCATATACGAGCTACCAATACACTAGTAGCCATATACGAGCTACCAATACACTAGTAGCCATATACGAGCTACCAATACACTATATACGATGATTACGAGTACGCTCTGCGAGATGCTAAATGACAACCTGCCCTCATATAACGTGCGGGTGTACAGTTGCTTATGCTCACGCGCTACGTGATCAGCTTGCAGCTGCAACAGCTAGATTAAAAAAAACAAAAAAAACGTGAACTATGTAGTTTCTCTAGATCTATTTTCTAACTGTGATCTAACTTTTGAAAGTGAAGTTTCCAGTTTTATGTATCTAACTCGAGGGTTCTGTGTTGGACAAAGCAATTATATCTTAGCAGTCGGTGCCTAAGACGTGAGTTTCCTCAGTGAGAATGAAAGCAACCACTGCCGAAGTCTAACACGGCTTTGCCCAAGCACTCTAGATTGAAAATAAGAATGATAAGTTGTATAATTTACCTTTGCATTGTTTTCAAACTAAGTGTGGCCTATTGAAACAGTACGATTTAAAAAAAAACTTTCAAGGAAACAAAACGAGAGAAAAGGAGAAAATTTTATGTTAATAACCTTGAAAAGTCTTTATTCTAGCGGAGAGGGCATTACTGCAAAAATTCAGATGAGGCTAGAAACAATAATGCTGAATATGCAAAACAAGCCTTAACCATTAATCTAGCCAAAGAAAAACCTGCCACCCTGGCTAGATGGAAGAAAAACTATAGTAAAGATAGAATGTTAAGTCACATTCAAGACTTAACATCAAGAAAAGCTACGAGATGGATAGGTCTAGAGTTCAGTCACTCTCGAGACATAGTACCAAAAAAAGCTATGACACAAGTGGGGGAAATTTTTTAAACAACAAATTAGGAAGTAGGAACAGGAGCACAAAAAATTAAGGAAACAAGGTAGGAATGGGCGGGTTAATTTTACAACACTTAGTGGTTTTGGTATGGGCCAACCTCAAAGTTGGTGTGGCCATAGTTCTATTCATTCCTCTTCGTGTTTTATTTTGAACTTTGATCCAATTATAGAGTTAAACTGAGCTTTATCATTAAGTAATCCTTTATAAATACTAAAAAAATAGTTGTTTTGATACTATTCTTTTGGCCCACCTCTTACCAGTCAGTTAGCTATAATATCTCTTATAAGCAAAGTGTAACTATTGGAGCTTCCTGTCTCACTTCCGACATAAAACAACCCCCTTTCCTTATGATGTCATGCATTTCGTTAGGGTCACGTAATGTGATTAGATATATGTATCTGTACTTAGTTGCTGATACAAAGTCTATAACAGAAAAACTTAGCTATATACACCTTTCATTTAGTTTGGACAATTACCAAGTTACCAAAAGCACACCAATTGGGAATGGGCGGAACGATGTTCTAATGTTAACCGCCCATTTCTACCTTGTTTCCTTACTTTTGTTGTTCCCCTTCCTACTTCCTAATTTTTTATTTTAAAATGTTTTATACTTATCATTATTGAAAAGCATCTAAACACTTTTTCATATAAATATATAGAAATAGAGGGGTAATAAAAATACGCGAAGTAAAATATATCTTTATATTTCACTGTGTTATGTCCATCATGGGAAATTGAGCCCCGGATTTCAGCGCTGTAAGTCGGAAAACTTACCGTTGACCCACAAGCGGACGGCAGAGGCGACAAACAAATTACATGAGGTATTTACGCCACGATTTTCGAAACTATAAAACTTTGTTCGTTTTTGTTGGATCCAGGTTGTTGCATAAGCAAACTTATGTAAAATGATAGTGAACATTCTAAATATACGAATATGTTTTGATTAATTAACAGCAGAAATGAAAGTTGTTGGTTTCTTTTTGACACTTTTTATTTTTAATACATTATTTGTTAATCTATAAAAAAACAAAAATTCAGCTCTTTTGTTTTTTACTTATTCCTTAATAGTGTCTCTCACCCTCACTGGCTCAGCGGTAAAGCTGCAGTCTAACTACGCTAAAAACCGGATTTCAATACGAATGGTGGATAGAGCACAAATCACCCAATTGCACTTAACAACAACAATAACTTTTTTAATAGTGCCATTGAAATTCATCTTATGTTATCGCACTAGAAAAGTACAATGAGCTATCAATGAAACTGATTAGATCGTAAATACACTATCAGGACGACAACACGTGTTAATCTCAGTTAACACAAGTCTGTAGTAATCAGCGTTAACTGAGATGGCTTTAAGAAAGACACTATTGATTCTAATCTCTGAAGCAAAAGCTGTTAATCCCAAATGTTTGATATATGATTATTAATGAAGTCTGTTCAGATAATTGAAAGAGTCCTGACAGCGACGCAAACTCGAGAATTTGAAACACAGTTTTATCCCTTCTGCTAATTAGCTGACGAAAACTTAAAATCAGCTGAATTAAGCCTAATCAGACATATGGATTATATAAATTATTCTACTAGAAAGTTAATTAGAAGTCTATTTAAACACATTTGAAAAACGTAACTCATGTGTAAAAAAAATAGGAAATGAATCAAAACTTTAAGTCAGTAATGACGAAATAATGTATAGGGAAATTAAAAGTTTAACTACACTTCCAAGTGAAAAATACAGTACATAAAAATGTAATTTTACTTTAAGATTATTTTGTATATAAAAATTATTGTATTACCTAAAACTCATCAAGCCATCACCCATTGTTTATGCCTAATATTAAGTTGTGTTTTCTAATTTGCAGCTGATTTGACGAAGCCCTTTTTCTTGGTAGTTTTGCTAGACAGTAGAAAGGAAGCGAAAAATGAAATATTAAACTAATTTTCAAATAATTGATTTTCGTTCTTTGAGTTATCTCGAAACAGAACCTTGATTCATGGTTGATACTACGAGAATTGTTGAAGTCATTAGAGAAGGAGAGAAAACAACAACGTAGAACTTCTCCTTCATTCTATTCTGCAAGAAACTTGGTGAATGACATATTTATCACATAACATATTTTACAACAAAGTCCTCAATTAATTATATTTTGCTGTATGTATCTCTGATTTACTCTGTTGCGCTCATTGTCATGGTAGAGGGTCGTTCACTCTTTGTGTTTTTCATTTGCTTGTTTGAAAATCTCTCAGGATTGGTGAATAATCTGGACTGAAATTATGCACAATACAGGTACAGCCTTCTAAAAAATATGAAGACTGTGTATTGCTAATTACACGCGTAGTTCTTGAAAAGCTCTACTTTCGAAATGAACTCCCATTTATTTTTAAATTTAAATATTCTGTTAACCTACAGAATTTTGATACTTAAACTACTTCTATCTTCATGCGTTGTCGCACTCGCCATGGTTTTTTTTTATAACTCATTATACCCGCAAAAACCGTGGAAATGCGTTACCAGTTTTAAATAGTATAATTCTGGTGAATATCAACACTTAAACAGCTCCTTATGCAAGCTTATTAAAAATTTACTGGAATATGTTTTAATTATTCTTGAATATTTGGATCTGAGAAGCTGCGTATAGAATAAGTATTAGGATAAATTCATATTATTACTAAAATAACATATAATCAAACATTTTTATTATTTAATTGTCCGGCTTTGAAATGTATTTTACGTCAACTTTGCACCAATATGAATGACATTGATTTTATTATTATTTTTATTGCACCAAAAAGTATGGAGACAACAAAACATTCTAATTTATGTTTAGCAGCTTTTCGTGGTGACTTTGCAAATAGAAACCTTTGTTTTAATAATTAAATGTGCATGCACTACGAAAAATTATCATTGAGTATATTTTATTTGAGTTAATATAATTTTTATTTTTATTTCAGATCCTGTTATTGGACTGGAAGACGACTCACTTTGATTGGAAAAAAAAGATAAAACACAGCACTACTTAAAACTTTACGTATTTATCATATTTTATTTGAGAACATAGCATAAAAACTCGTATATGCAACGTGAATGTATTAATGAATGAATGATATCGCAAGGCTGAGGTAAATTGAGTACTTACTAATTGTCAGTCTTGAATTCTTAGGATTCGAATGATATCGCAAGGCTGAGGTAAACTAAGTACTTACTAACTGTCAGTCTTGAATTCTTAGGGTTCGAATGATATCGCAAGGCTGAGGTAAACTAAGTACTTACTAACTGTCAGTCTTGAATTCTTAGGATTCCCATTAAATCGACTCTTTTTCCCTATAAAAACCAAGTCAGCAAAGTTCCAGAAAACTTGGCACTGCTTACAATTTCAATGCAAATAGGGCCAGATGTGTCATAGCTGACTACGAATCGAAATGTCCTTAGTTTGAGATGTTCCCCACTTTCAGCTGTGGGTACATTGTAAAAGAAGTGGTGACATGTGCTGTTGTTGGCTGACTTCCCTCTGTTCAATAGAGTTCAAAATTAGGAACAGCTATACTTGAACCCTAGGGTGTCTCTGACCTGGACTCTTAGCCCATCTGCGCCTAAAGTGTTGTTCAGGTTGAATATTTAAATTTAATTTACAGTACAATATAATGCGATGTTGTAAAATTAGAGAGAAGACGATCCCCAAGAAACTAACTATTTTGTTTTAATTTGTGTAGACGTTTTATTCTGTAAGTTGTCGACTAAGAATTTGTTCAAAATACAATAAACACAAAAAGAGACTTTAAGTTACATGCGATTATAAAAATGCACATCTTTATCCCTAGCGAGATTAAGGGGCTTATTTAGCGATGGTGTTACAAATTTCTTATTCATAAAATACAATTTTGAATTTATTGAATCAAATATAAATCCTACTAACAGGTTTAAAACATAGAGCTATTCTTACATATCTTGCAGGAATCAAACTGAGACAATCCATTTCTACGTATTTCATATTTCCTTTTGTTACGAAATAAGTGAAAGTATGCTTGTGAATTAACAGTTGTTGACGAAGAAACAAATAACTAAATCCGTTTTTGTTTTTGCGAAGAAGCTTTTGATGTACCTTCCAGCTAATACAGTGACGTATAAACAAGAATACAGCATTCTGGAAATCTTCGTCTCTCAATAGCTGTCAAGTTGACATAGCAGGTTTAGTAAAATTAATATCAATTCATTGTATCAGAAACTTTCAGAATAGCTTGTCTGATGATAAAAAAAAGTTGATTCTAGCTTTTTTTTTATCTGAAATTAGTTACAGAGATTTTATGTTTCTGTGAAATTATTTTTTCTCAAATGTTCATTTTGTTTGTTTGCAGTTAGGCACAAAACTACACAATGGGCTATCTGTGCTCTGCCCACCACGGGTATCGAAACCCGGATTCTAGCGTATAAGTCCGCAGACATGCCGCTATGCTACTGGAGGGCCTCAAATGTTTATATGAACTCATTCGATAACTAGTCTACTTTTATATTTGCTCCTCATTTTATTTTTATTTTTCGCATTTTCTCTTACAATAAACAGTGTTGTAAGTCTCGAGGCCACCCTTAGGAAGGGCTAGGTCTCGGGCCATTTGGGTCTCGATGTTTTACAGGTCTCGAAAACGAGATCGTCTAAATTTAAAAGTTTTACCAGTAGTTAGGCCTACCTAAGATTATTAAACGATAAATGTCGATTACGAAGTAGTTCATACGTGGTGCAGTATAGTATGAAAGATGCTTTACTAGTAAAACCCCATGGTAGTTGGACTACACCTTTACCATGATGTTTATAGTGCCTCCCTTATTTCTGCTTACGTCACCAAGTACCATATTGCCTGTACGTCAATTCTCAGTTATAACATGTACTATTCAAAATTAATTGTTACTATACAGTGCATTACGAATAGACTTACTATAAGTTTGTATGAACTTCATTTGGTGCACGTATTTACGTTAAACGTTAGCGATTATCCCTGATATTCAGCATGTCTCGTAGATCTGCTGTGATCTTGATCGGCTTCAAAGATCAAGAATAAAGAATTCACTGACACCATAAACTCTTGAAAAACAACAAAAACATTCTTTTTTTTGTTGTTGTTGTTGTTGTTGTTTTATTTGCTGACCTTATTTATTAAAGTCTCAGTCTCGGTCTTGGATACTGAGGTCTCAGTCTGCACTGAACCAGTCGAGTTCGGCGCAAATAGTAAAAATATATTGTAGCAATGTTCATTGTAAATTACATGTTATAAATGTTGTCCTTTTTTATTACAATAATTATAATTTGCCCAAAGTTCTTTCATTTCAGATTCATCATGAATGAAACTTAGATCTTCTAAAGACTAAATAATCAAGTATTAGTATATAAACTATATACTATACACATATAACAATGTTTCAAGTAACAAAATAGCGTTATTAGTTGGACACTGGTCCAGAGATCCACACAACTGTGATGTAGAACAGATGAGAATCTACATAAGTTGTGAATAATACAAGCTGGTAGAAACTTATATAATATAAAGATACCCGTTCGAAGCTTCAGACCAATTAACACGGACAAAAAGGTTTACCGAAGAAGAAGAGTGAACTGAAGAAAGGAAATGTCCCCAGAATAATAAATATAGAGGAGTAGTGTCAGTTGTAACTTATCAGTTCCTTGTCCTTCTAAAAACTGGATCAATAACTACACCCTGAAAGCACAAATATCACATTCTGCAGCTCTGCTCTTAACAACAAACTTCCTGAAAGCAACCCATCTTTTTAAAGGAGAAAGATAATCCAAACCTAATCATTGAAATAATCGTCTTTATTGTTGTTTTTTGTTTGTTTTTCAGATCTGGTTTGACTATAAATAAGTATTACTATAATGCTGAACCTGTTTATAATATGATATATATTTATCGTATTAATATAACATAATTAATCATTTCGCTGGCATTTTTTTGTTTTGTATTGTTTTTTTTTCTTTGAAAATTAACAATAACTGTGCATATTGATCTTCTGTTTTCTTTTATGTTAAAAACGACAAAGTTTCAAAACCTTCATGTTAACTAGGTATTAATAACATTATTTAGTGAAAAAATGCTTAATATTATATGTATATATGGTTAATTATTTCACGACTTATTGGTAAATATTGTATACTAAATATAATTATATCTCATATTTAAATATATACCGTATTGCCCCTAATTAATTCCCCGGGAGCTTTGCAAGCTGCAAAGGGGGCCGCTAATTATGGCATTTGTGCAGTTCCGAAATATATTTTTCACAAGTTATTTGTTGTGTGTGTGTGAGTGATTGTATTTGTTTTCTTCTTTTTTTCAAATCAAAACTACGGTAATAAAAGTGGATTATATGTTGGATTACTATTGCTGTCAAACAAGGTAAGCTTTATAAAAATATCGGGGGGGTCGTTAATTAGAGGTCATACGGTATGTAATTTTATTATATATATTTTATGTGTGTATATGGTGGAGTATTTCACGACTTACTGGTGAATATTATGTAATAAATAAAAGTATATCTCATATTTAAATATATCTGTAACTATAGTACATTATATATTATGTGTATGTGTATGGTAAAATATCTCACGATTTACTGATGAATATTGTGTACTAAGTAAAATTCTATCTCATATTTAAATATATTTATAATTATATTATATTATATATATCTATATATATGTGTGTGTATGTAAGAGTATGGTAAAATATCTCACGATTTATTGATGAATATTGTGTACTAAGTAAAATTATAACATTTCATGTTTTAAAACTATACATGGGCACGGACTCGCCCTGTGGTAGAGTTCTGGATTTTAAAGCTAGATTCCAATTAGTGTGATACCAAAAAATATTCCCCACACGTTAAACTGTGGATTGTGATAAAAATGATAGTCAGTCTCTTAGCATGAGTGATAGGGAGCTACTGACCGTTTACTTTTCCTCTGATCGGTAATTCAAAATTAAGGAAGGCGGTAGATACCCTTATTAGCTTTGTCATGAATACAAATAGAAAAATATACCTATATTATATCATATATTTTGTAACATTTCGTGATAGCCATTCATGAACGGGCTAATGTACTAATACGTTGAATTTAGTCTAAAGAAGTTTTCAACTTTTAAAACCATGAACATTAGGGATTTGAATATTCATAATTATCTGATACTCTCACGTGATGTTTCTTATTACTTTACATTGTTTTTCTATATATATCGAATGTCTTTTGTTAGGAATATTTAATATCATAAAGACCTACTGCGCTTAGTGATTTTGATTTTAATATTACAATAATAGATTTTGTTTCAACCAGGATAAAATCACGTTACTCGTACATTACATAATTTCATCGTGTTCACTATGATTCTTGTTGCTTAGAGTACCTAAGACTGTCATTCTTGAAGGGCGTGGTTTAATGAATAGCATATCCAAGCTGTGAATCCAAGAATTAATGTTTAGTATCTCGTTTCTGCAAAAATACGCCACTCATCTAGGGGCCGTGGTCCCCTATAAAAATAAGGATCAAATCCTACAAACTGATATGATTATACATCTAATATAACGGATGTAATCTGTTTAAAATAGATGTCAATTCTTTTTTTTTTATATATAAATTGCAATTGCTATCCTACACAAGACAGAAGTAGTGCTACTAGTTTTTTAGGCACATCCAATTTTTAAGACTTTAGGAGTAGACAGTTTATTTAGCATTTCCTTAATATTAGTATTGAGGATAACTATTAAGTGCATCACGTTTTAAATAATTCTTAATACGACTTTATGCAATAGAGAGTAACTGAAAATCATGTAAGTACAATTCACTAAACTTTTCACCAAATTTACTTTACGAGCAATAGAAACCAATCTATCAAATAAACATACAACCCTAAAAATAGGTTGGTTTATGATATATACTAATTTTAAAAAGACTTTGCTGATTATGTACTAAACTAGCGTATCCAA